TTATCTATAGTCATATTTTAAGCTTTCCAGAGGCATATTTTCAGGGGGTCTTAACAATCACGCTAACGAAATCATCTGGAACAGATAACACACAGAAACAGTACTCAACTTTATGTCCTATCAAAATTGAAAATAGTTTTTCATTACGACTGTGCATTATCCGAGCATTCTCGGTCGCTGCACGAGAAAACGCTTTTAGTTACTTAAATATTCCATCACAGGCGTGTGTCGCTGAAAACAAGAATATAAAATCTATTGGTTTAAGTAGAATTTTTAATTATTGCCTTGGTTGCTTTACATGTCACATATGGTGCTATGTGTTTTCTTTCAACATGTACTAAACGCATAAACAATAGACTTCACCTTTCCGATAAACTACGGCATTAAGTTACCTGTTCAATAAGGAAAAATTTCTGAACAGTTTATTTGATTACAGCGTGGATTCTCTTTCCGATAGACAGCAATAATTAGGTTGAAATCCTCAATTTTTCTGCTGGTCGACGTCTTGAGTTAGAGCAGTAACGAATGTGTTTACTAATCGGGATATGTAACTCATTTGCAGGGAATGAGCAGCTAGTCGGCTTTTACTGAAAATAGGTTGTTTTTTTTGAACTACTACCGGTCTGTGATCACACTTCCGTTGTCGAAGACCTCGTTATACCTGCAAGTTTCATTTCAGATAAACAGCGGTTTAGCGTCACATAAAGTACGAACTTTATCTCTGGTGTCAGAGGATGAGAACGTTGGCCAATATCTGCCATGGAAGTAGATTACATTGGTGGCATGCAATTACTAATCCTATAGCCAATCTATCAATCTTCCGCAATACTACTAATGCATGGGTATCATCCAGTTCTGTTAACCAGTAGAACTATTGTTACCCAGTCACAGATAGAAAGCAATGAGATGGAGTTTCAGATTTGTTAGCGATCTTCAGAGGAAGCATTGTGTCACACTCTTTTTCTTGTTCTATGTAGGTCTATTGTCCTTTTATTGAGCACTTACTTATATGTTCCAATTTAACAGCATTAGTTTATGCCCTTTTTATGTTTATGCTAAGCAGTGAGGTTCCGTGGTTCAAGCCAGCAGAAAATATTGATTCACTCTACAAGCGTTCCATAACACGAAAATTCCGACATCACTAACCACAAGTACTCAAAAATCTTGTCGATATCCTCCATTTTCTGGTAACCATCACAACGAGACTGCAGTTTAACGTGGTGCGATGTTTTGCGTACCCCTGTGACCCAGTGAGCTTTGCTGAGTGACAATTCGAAGTGCTTACAAAGCCAGTCGTACAAGACAGCTCAATGGATAGGGGTCAGACTAACTCAGTCTCACAATCACCCCGCTGCTATGCGAGCAGGCTATTTAGCCAAAGGCTCGGGTGGATTCCCTCAAGACAACTCCCTTCTTCGGCTTGGGCGACGGGGTCATATCACCCCCACTGACAAAACCACGGACTGTTCATCTGCAATATCGCTCGTAGTTGCTTTTGCTCCTGCTAGTCACACACCTTCACACATCATCCGTTCATTTGTAACCAATCACTGTTATCCGTTACCAGCTGATTCCTGTTTCCAAGATTCTACTCCCGATGGGTTCGTCGATGCTTAGAGAGCGTGCCCAGTCGCACTCCTTCGGCCTCGGTCCTCGTTCCGTCTGGCATGCTTAAACGTACGTGCACTCATGCAGATCGGGCAGCAAGCTAATCTTGCACGCACTCTGGAATAGCTCACTATCGATGTTTGCTGCCTTTCCGAAACTCATATACATACCCCAGCACTATGATTATGTTGAGATCTCCTACCACCCACGGAGCCATATCTCCCCTAGGTCTATCTGGTAACACAGAATAAGCTGCGGCAGGTTTGGCTGGCATTGGTGTAGCATTAAGTAGCATAGCCGAGGAACCACTGCTGGACTGGCTCCCGATTAATAACCGGCTGCGTGCAATTCGGTTTCGGGGATCATGCAAGATAGACAGCTATCATGAGGAGAGACGCAACTTGTTTGTGATCTCAGCTTACGTTCCCAGTGACTACAGTTCCGACTCAGTCAAGTACGATTTCTATCGTGAACTTCATCAGCATTTGAGCAGAACCTGCAAATCCGACATTGTTGCTCTTGCTGGGGATTTCAAAGCACGGATCGGTCGTCTGCTTGTATGCGAAAGTCACCTCGGTGGTCACCATACGCTTGATGACAACAGCTCAGATAATGGACAGAGACTTCTCACACCGTGTGAAAATGCTCATCTGCTTCTCTCGAGCACAAGTTTTTAGCATTAGATGAAATGTTTCACTACTTTGCGACCCCTTTCTGCGTCTCAGTCATGGTATCAGATGGATCATATTACAATCAGTTTCAGATGGAGGGGTAGTGTAAAAGATTGCAGATCCATCTGGTCCACTTTTCTTGAATCAGATCATGCTCTTGTCTGCGCGTATATCTGCATGAGTTTCGGAGGGTCCTCAAAGCACACAAACAGATTATCTACTGTCTCGGTTCAGCAGAGTTATCCAGCTTCCCTGACCGGTGCACTCGGCTGCGACCCACAGCAAGATATTGCGAACATTGGACTTTCATGCAGAGGACCATGATCTCTTCCGGACAAACAGTTTAGGGTTTTACTCAATATTCGTTGAAAGCCTGGATCTCCACGCGCTCTTTGTATCGCTTTGACTACTGTAGGAATATCGCAGCGGTCTAATTATAATGAAGTGCGACATTCTGTCAGTCGGTAGCTCAAAGAAATCCTACGCAGTGATCGTGAAGCATGGCGGTCGCAGCTTACTTCGGAAATGCAGGCCACCGCCTTCTCTGGCAATACTCGCGAGCCCTTTCAGCTCATTCGGTACATTGCCACAGAAACCCTGGTGTCAGTGAGACTATTTTCGAAGCTGTTGGTTGGCCGAGTACCAACTTACAAAGACGCTTGGGCCGATGGGCCGAACATTTTCATAACCAGTTCAATTGGCCCTCACCGTACACATAAATATGCCCTGCAAATCCAGCTGCCCGCCCAGGGTCGTCACATTTGATCCACCTAGAGAAGCGGCAGTTCGTCTTGCTATTCGGCACCTAAGACGATTCATAGCAGCCGGATCAGACGGATTTCCTTCGGAGCTGTTCAAATATGGGGGCTCAGCTTTCATTAGCCAGCTAACATCATTGTTCTCCCAATTCTGGCATGAAGTATAGGTGCCTTCTTCTTGGAGCGAGTCAGTTCTTGACCCGAATTTTAGGAAGGGTGGTCGCGCTTCGTGCACCAAACACCGGACGATTAGTCTCGTTTCCGTTGCCTCCAAGCTATTGACATCAATTCTAATCCATAGATTATCGCCCATTTGCGAATCGCAGGACCGAGGAGAACAAGCTGGCTTCCGACCTAGTTACGTGTGTGTGGACCAAATTTCATACCGGCAAATCCTGGAACACCGCCACCTTTACCAGAGACATACGATCGTTGCATTCCTGAATATCCGTGCTGCATTCCACTCGGTTAATTGACATGCACTGTGGCGTTATTTGCTAAGGAACTGTGTCCCAAATAGGTACACTGCCATCCTGCGCGCACTCTAATTCCACATCAGCAGAGTAAGGGTTATGTTAGACTGTCGTCCTCATTCGCAGTTACTAGCGGCGTACGACAGAACTGCCATGTCCCCGTTCCTCTTCAGTTTTGCGATTCAAGAGATCTTGTCGAGAACTCTAGAAATGATCCCAAATATTTGGCCTACAGCTACTACGGGTTAAACGAGCGACCGACTTAGATTATGCCAATGATATCGGCTTACTTGGTGAAGACTCACAGGACATGCAAACCATTCTAGACCGTTTGATGATTGAGGCATGTAGGTACAGAATGTGCCTTGCCCCCTCAAAGTGTAAAGTGCTGCATTATGATTGGCACTCACCCTTTCCAGTGCTCACTCTTGAATGTACACAGCTTGAACAAGTGGATAGCCTTGTCTACCTTGGCAGCTGTGTGTCTGCTGGTGGTACCATTGGAAAGGAGGTTTCTCTTCGCATCGCCACAACTCGGTCAGCATCTGTTAACCTGCAGCACTTGTGCTCCCTTTTTTCTTTTATTGTAGCACAATGGCTGAAGTGTATTGATCACCTTCAGTTAATGTGTGCTGATGATACGGTGTTAAAACTGCTTTCTTTTACTGATTTCCATGGTTATGTTTGGCACTATATCTAGTTAATAGACTGCTGCCCATACTCATCTCTTAAACTCGAGCAGCAGTGTAGCATCACCTCAACTGCAAGGTGCACGCATCTTTGAGTACCCTTTACTCAGGTGGCAGCATTTGTTGTTCATGGTTGATAACGCGCTAGGCTGCTCGCCGACCTATGGTAGGTGAAGATCGGTAGAAAATGGGTTTTGCTTTTGTCGTGGACGGGAAGCACGCAAGTGTACAATACACGGAATTGCTGTTTGCGCAAGAAGCCGCAGGAGCTTCTTCAATATCCCACCCGCCTTGGAGCCATTGTACGTCATTACACACAATATAACAGACCCAAATAATCCAATATTTATAAGGAATCACCAATTCTTTACTTTCCCAGGTTGTACAGTGACAGTTTGCTGATGTTTTGACAATGTGCTTTGGAAAATAGGACGGGTTATGTTATCTGCTCGGGTATAAGTTCCACTTCCATTGACCCAACTCAAATGGAAACCGTGTTGCTGGTTCAAATTATATCAGATGGTAACGGAGAGATAGAAGCATGTATGAAATGACATCGGTTAGGAAGCAAATTAATGTGACCGAAAACTGAGCAGCTCGTAATATTTGCGGTTTTAACTGAATGGTTCATGTGTCTGGTGCACAGATAGAATCATGCCGGTCCACTCTTAAGCAAAATTACGAGGCGAATACGTGCTTCTTTCGGATTATTGCGCAATTCGACTTTGTTCTTTCATTTGTTCAGTGCACGTTTAATCCACCGATTCACTGTCCCAGCAGCTCGCCGTACCACTAAACAGCTTATTGTGATATTTGTTGATTTAACTCACTAGCATCTGTAAGGCCTTTGACAGCTGCAGCAGACTCGGTTAGTTTCACGCCAATCTCATCATGTTGCAAAAAACGGTGCACTCGCTGCCGGAACATTTCTGCTTTTTCCTATCAGGTGAAGCATTTGCAGTATAGCTAAGACCTGTACACATCATTTTCTTACCATAACCTGTGCTTGTTGTTGCTCCGGTAACATCCTGTGATGGGAAATGTTGCATTAAATAACTTAAGTTCAGCTTTACACTCACTTAAATATGCTAGCGGCAAGCAAGACCACTATGACAGGCAAGAATCCGGACATGGATCCAGTGAGTCAAACCTGAACCTGATAGTATTTTCGCTGAAAAGCGCCTCTTTGCGCTTAAGCCATTCGATTGATCAGTTAGCTGTGAATACTGGCATCACGTGACAACACGTATTGAGCTGGAGCCGTTTGAATCCTTGTCCAATGGCATTGTTTGTGGCGACTCGTATAACCAGGCAGAGCGCACGGCGATACGTTGTTGAGAAGAAAGCTATGCAGCTCGTCTAACTCTATTGAGGCAGGTAACCCACGATGCTTACGACTCGAAGAGGAGCAGAATGGTCTAAGGACGAGATCGGTAAAATATCTGGTTGCTTGCTGTCTATTCAAGTAAAAGCTAATTTACTGTCATCCTGCTCGCAAGCTCTATGACTGGTTATAACTAACAGTACACGAGATTATTGAGGAAAAATTATAATCTTAATTGGCTCACAGTTCATCGCTATGCCAAGCATTCAACTTTTTGTCGATGATATCATTCTTACACATTCCCTCTTTTTTATTTTACGGTTTTCTTCCTAAATACGTGATTTCGAGTAAGCAGATGCATTGTTTCCTCACTAAATCTTAAAAACGCCACATTTTTCAAAGCTTCCTTTCAAGGGTGCTCTTAGGCCTTAGATATTCAACTAAAAAGGTACGGGAGGACAACATTCGTCTGTCCGGATTTCAGCTCCTTTTTATATTTTAAGCAAGTAATGAGTGAGACGTCACTCTGACTCATTTAGTGTGATCCTGCGCTAGGTATTATAATGCGGTGTATTTAGTGCTTACATTACATGTGTAGAATGTTCCTAGACCATAACAACAGACATTGGGAGGAAAGTAAAATCTACCGAAGGAAAACTGCTAATTCTTACGACACGTATTGTACCTTCATCGTTATAATCTATCGTTACCACTACACCTAAGAGAACATTTGGAAATCTACATTGCCAGAAGCCGAAACCTTTACATGTTCTCTATGTGAAGCGGAGAAAACTTGTTGTTGTGCAGAAACATTGCAGAAACAGTGGTTTGATGTGTTTTTAGTTCATCTATTCTTTTGGTACAAAACAGTTCGAACTCCTTTGGAAATATACCTTCACCGAACGAAGAGTTTGGTTTTATTGGTATGAGCAAAGGAATATGAGAGTGGCAAAAACGAAGCTGCACTTCTCGGCCAGTGCAAGTGTAGAAGTTAAACTTGGGCGCAGGGTCACTAGGCACTTTACGGGAAAAGAATTTGCGACTAGAGTAAACGTTGCAGCAACATCCAAATCAGGTGGTTCTTCATGTGCCCGAAAGAGCACTAGACGGTCATTTCATCTTAAAGGGCCCCGTCAATGGTGCTTACCCATCGGCACCAACAAAGTCCTAAAGCAGGATCATTAGTGGCTTGCACCGCCTCTTAGCCTTATGGATCGCAAGCTTGCCTTGTAATCCAAGGGCGCGAGTTCGGACCTGCGTAGGGATCGGACAGCGCTACCCCCGCAGTATCCTTAGCCTACGTGTGACTGGTGGTGGTTTCGCGGCAGCAAAGCGTCGGTATTGCTTAGCAGCGTACTGCAGATACCTTTTTAAAATAGTTTCTGAACGCTTTGCCTTGCATAGCTACTGTCAATGAAACAAACTGATACGGGTAAAATGCTAAAAGTCAAGAGGTGTCCTCTGATTGTAATGGTGAATCTTGCAAAATATGGAAAATTCTCAGCAACAGTAAGCTTACGCAGTTGGACTCATCGCGGGATACGTAGTATAAAGTGTAAATCAGCAGTAAGCCCATACGGAATGACGACAAATGGAACGTTGCTAAAAGCCGCGCAGTCTTCTGGTGAACACAAACAGCATCAGTACACATAAGCCGAGGGTGAGAAGCACAAACCAGCCAATATGCTGCAATACGCCAATGTGCTCAATAGAAGGTGAAAAAGGTAGAGTGTGTTCTGAGAGCTGCCCGTCAGTGGAATCTCTAAAAGACTCGTGTTTGGCCATTGACCGTGAGTCGTGTGAGAAGGTGCAGCTAAATGAGTGCGCGTTTTCAACTCGGGCCTTGAACTCCACCAGCGTGAGAGTGCGGATTACAGATTCCGGTAAGACCTTCCACCTTTGGCATAAGTGTACAGAGAAGAAAATCCGATGATATTCCAAAATGATTACATTGCTAGGCCCGTTTGAGGTGGTGGCCGATCAGCTTACCGTTGTGGCTGAGCTCTAGCAAGTAGCTGCACGTGTGGTCTGGATCCTTCAAAATTTGGTAAGTCAAAACAAGTTCCCCACGCAATCATCGGAGTTAACCTCTAAAAATGTCGAACACTCGTAGTCTTTGTTCATACGGTAAGTGATACAATTTTTTGAGATCCTTGGTAGGCCGGCCTTGAGTTATCTCCACAGTGGTGAGACCTATCCTCAGTCAAGTCTACCAGAGCTGTATTACATATTTCACGCGTGAACGTAGGTAAGTGCCAAGAGGAGGATGAAAAATCGACTAGTCGGATCATCTGAGTGCACGGCACAGACAGTCTACGTTCTTAACATCTTTTAACGTTTCGAATCCAACCTTGTTCTCTGCAGTGTTTGTAAGGTGTATGGGAATGAGGGATGCCATGCGATATATCGCAGTAAGCTTGTAACTCATGACCCATCCACCTCTGTCGCACATGGATTAGTGGTGTAAGCTGCTGGCTAACGGTGCAAGCCCCCTAGTGATCATGGGTTAGGGTCCTGTTTGAACCGATGGATGTGCACTGCTGACGAGTTACGGTGAGACGAATTGGGGGCCTCATGCTTCCCAGGTCAAATGGATCACTACATGATTTGGAAGCTGCTGTGAGGAACTCTCAAATAATTACATAAAATGCCTCATACTCCTAAGCAAAGTGTTGTTCCACACCTGTATAAAATTAAGATACCTTACAATAGACAAGGTACATTGAGGTGAACAAGACAGGAAAATCTGCTTATTTGAATAGTCTTTCTGTATCAACTACAATAGGTCAAAGTCGCAAATATGTATTAAGCAAACAAATGGATTGCTTCTTGACTAACCATTAACCAAATAAACTTTCGTCTCCAGATAATCTGACGAATAATGCGTCCTCTCTGTGGACCAAATGGTTATTACTACGAGAAAAAGTAGGTCGAACTTTTCTATGTGTTGTCATTTTAGACCTTCACTATGGTGTTTAACTGATATCCAAATTCACAGCATAATGTAATTGTAACTACTACTGTGGCATAGAATACTATGGTGGTCACAGAAAGCTTAAGACGTTCAGAGCTTCGAATAGTGTTTAATCCTAACATTGAGTTGCAAGCATTGAAGACTCTGTTTAAGTAAATTCATTAAAGTTGATATTGATTATCTGACATCGTATGAGAAGGCCGATTCGAATGCAAGGGTTTTTACCTTTACTAAGACTATGGTAGCTAGAACCCTCATTTTGAGACAGCAACATGTTCAGTTGTGCTGCCAAATTTTGGTGTATTGTATTCCTAACCACCACTTGTCTGCGGCTTGACGTTGGGTTAATGTGCTAGGTGCTTTCGTTTCAGTTCTGACACGAAGATGTACAAGTTATTGAGTATCTGCTCAACCGGTGCTACACATTCTTGCATAATATCTCTTCGAAAACGTGCGTCCGTGTTGTTATGGGTGCTTGTGAACAATTGTTATCTTGCACTTTTATTTAGTAATACATTTAATTTGCTAGACTCTAAGGTAGATGAATCACAAATATTTGCCTTTGTAATTTGCGGCCTAACCATCCCAAAGGACTTGTCAAACAGCTGTTTTTTATCCGTTATAAGACATGTTTCATTTTTCCTTGATAATTGACATTTACTACAAAGCATTTAACCCTTATCAGCCATTACGGACAACATAATTGTGCAGCATTTAGTCGGGCATCGCTGCCCATTTTCTGTGTCTGTAGTTGAGCATCATGGACAACCGAAAGCAGACACTAAGTATTTAACCAATGATATGCGATGTTCTTCGCTACAAAACTACTCGACTGATTTACTTCACGGCATCAACAGCGTTCTACAATTTCAGAAATGGGCTTAATTGAATATTTATTTATCAACTGCTTCACTATCTTAGAATTAAAGTCTACTTCTACCCAGGATTTAGACACTTAACAGATTGCGAAAATCACAGGCAAGTTTGTCCCATCATCCTCCATCGTCGACCCATAGCTGGTCGCAAATTGATCACGCAACCATAAGTTACAGACGGTGCGGCAGCGCATGCGAGTGTATATATTCTGCCTCAGTTACTTTTTACAGCATTATGTTCTTGCAGGCTTCTGCCAGAAGAACGATTGCCTACATGAGCCGAACCGTTAATGAATTCCAGACTTCAAGCCTTTAAAAGATGTGATAGGCCGAAGCTTGAAAACTGTACAATTGTGCATGGAAATTCGCGAAACGCGGAGCCATAGAAAACATCTAACAATCATTCACAGAAATTTTTTAAAACCCCTAAGATCATGACACCGTGAGCACTGCGAATCTGTAAAACTGCGAGCGCCATCATTGCACACACATCCATACATAACCTGTGCTTTCTCTACCGCGTATTATTCAGATTACGCTTTACAGCTCAGCCACTACACGAGTTTCAGACTCCTAAATGCTATGAATTAAGAAACAGCCAACGCGTACTACATAGTAATAAGTGTCGTACCAAGCTCCTCTCCACTTCTTTCTCAGTAATGCATACGTTAAAAGGGAATGAACTTCTATTGATTATCAGAAACCGCTCTACCTATCTGCCATTCAAACGGACGATCAATGTTCACCTGACTGTTTCCAATATCTTCTCAACAAGCAGCCAAAAGATGACTCTAGCTTATTTGGGTGCGAAAACTTCTAGCTACACTTAAAAGATGCAACCTCCCATAATTGTCTCAATATCATAACTTTCTCTACACATGGGGAAGTCTTTAGTAGTTATTTAGAAACGATCTTATTTTATCACTCACTTGCTCCCCGCCAACCATACCGTTCTCTTC